TAATAACATTTATCTATTGTCTTGTCTGTGGATGTCAAATTGTCGGTGACTGATTTTCTTTTTAATTTATCTGTGGTCTGGTAATATACTCGTACGCTTCGCTATTGTTAAATTACGCTCCGTCTTTTATTTAATGTCTCCCTAGGATTAATTTAATAAATCTTATAACATCTGTTGTATTTAAACTGTCAAACACCAAGCGGTCACCGGTGACCGCAACCTATTGTTCTATAATTGTGTCTACAAAACCGGTACTCGACGAGTTAATATACTACTGTTTGTTGTCCTTGATAAATAAAATAAAAAAAACAACATCTTACAAGATTTTTAGTTATTATGACAGAATCTCTTATGTAGAGGCGTTCCGTAGTCCACCAGTGGACTGCCATGGGGCTGTTGATGATGATGATGATGCTGAACTAAAAATAACGGGTACCTATGTAAATGTACTGAGAAAAACTCTACCTACTAGTCTAGTTTCGAGTTACAGAAGGACTCTTCCTCATGAACAGCGTGCGGCGGCGTCGTTAATACGAATAATTATTAGTTAATTCAGTAAAGTATGACAATGTTAAAGTTAAATCATTTATTTTTAAAATTAATCGTTAACTGTGCACTTTTGAAACGTCAAAATTGAATAGGGTAGTTAGTAGACTATGGTAAAACATAGGACACGTATTTTTTCTTTTATTTCACAATTGAATACTTTCGACGATAATATATTGATTCGAAATATCGTGTGACGTCATGAGTTGCTACGGTTTATACAGGAACGTATGACGTAGATACCTCCCACTCCGAAACTAAGATAAATCTATTGTTTATAAGTATTGTTTTCTTATACGACAAAATAAAAAAAAACATGTCTAATATTTTTTCATTAACTAACTGACGGACTAATCAGATTTTTTATTGTCGTAACCCTGTCGACTACCCAATTGTCAGTCAGTCGGTCTGTGAGTGAAGCTAGGTGCTCGTTCCAATGGAGAAGAACGAGCAAGAAACTCCATATGTCTCACGATAGTTATTATAAAAATGATGTTGTGCCTCGTTGGCCGAGTGGTCGCAAGTGCGACTGCCGGGCAAGGGGTCTCGGGTTCGATTCCCGGGTCGGGCAAAGTATTACTGGTATTTTTAAAAAATTCTGAGTAGTAGCACGCAGTCTGGAATTGTGCCCGGTATATCGCAATAGGCTCACCTCCTATTACATGGGACTCATAACATAAATAGTGAAACGTGGGTGTTACATTGTACAGTAGCTCTAGAATTATACCCTATTTAATTATGCACGGCTTCTAATACATGGGCCTAATACCTTATTAAATAGCTACCTATATCATTAAAATATTCATAGCAATACTAATAAGCCTAATAATAAGCCTACAATACAAAAAATACGACATGAATGTTTGAACATAAATTTATTTAAATAATTATTCTATTTGCTGGAAAAAAGGGCTTTAACCTCTCCAAATATTTACTGCTATTAAAGAAACTACCATTAGTTGAAGGATTACAATGAAATATAGACAAACAAATGGAACGTATGAAGTCTGCAATTTGTCAAATTATTTCTACGAAACATGTTTATGAATATATATATTATTATATGTTTGATCGATAGTTTTATAATAACAAAAGTTCGAGATCTCTTTATGTGATCCACAGATTGTTGTTCCGGGTCTGGGTGTCATGTGTATGTGAATTTGTATGTTTGTAAACGCACCTACGACACAGGAGAAAATCCTACTGTGGGACAACGTTTTTAAAAGAAAGAAAGAAAGAAAGAAAGAAAAATCGTTTATTTGCACACCGTCACAAGGTACAATAACACAAAAAAAATATAAAACAATATAGCAAAGACGGCGCAAAAAGGCCAGAGCTCAGCTTAAATGCCGCGACACGAGTGTGCTCGAGTCGCGGCGCTGATTTTCAGCACAAAAGAATTTGTGGATCATACAAAGTGTTGTTCCGTGCGGGAATCGAACCCGCGACACGTTGCACGGCGCCGGTTGCCCAGCCCCCGCACCAACCATGCAGTCATTCCATTCCAATAGACATTCCAATTTCATTAATGTATAGATGTATAGATCAAACCAATTACGAATTACATAAGAATACGAACGAATTACATAAGAACATTTAACATAAGTTGCATCGAGTTCACAACATTGAACTTGACCACTTAATGTCAGTTCAAACGCCGAGGCACGATGTACAAACATTTTTTATGCAGTTAATTGACGCGGTTAAATATTGATCCAACCGGTTAAGTTAACGGTTTTCCAAATAGCTAAACAACGGTGTTACGTCATAATTTCGGAGGGTCAGCAGAGATGATAGTTGGGAACGTTATTTTTAATTGCATAATGATACGTGATGATGATGTGATGGTTCATTTCATTGATGAAAGTCTGGTTTGATTTTCGTAAGATTTTGATTGGGATTGGTTTATAAAATAAGTCAAAGTCAAAGTCAAAATCATTTATTTCTATTAGACCAGGATGGCACTTTTGAACGTCAAACAACAAAAATTTTGAAGTGAAGCTAGTTGCTCATTCTAAGGTGTAGATTCCTATGGAGAAGAACGAGCAAGAAACTCTATAGGTCTTGTTCTGGATAGTCAAAGACAAAATCAAAGTTCTTTTTCCTATGGGATAGGCTAATAAACGAGCAGGAACGGATCTCTTGATGGTAAGCAATCGGCGTCGCCCATGGACACCTGGAACGTCTTGTCACCTTTGTCTACTTATGTGAATAACTGTAATTGTCATAGGTTAGTACAACTAAAATGATTTACGATCATTGATAGAAATCAAGTTTATCTACATAATTTATCATTTTGCATATCGCGAGCTAACTAGCTGGCTCGCCGGGACACGCTAAAATAGACTGTATTGACGCCTAATTTAATGCGCATTGTCCTTATTATACTATAATATTTACGTACTATATTTAATCATCATTATCAACAGCCTATAAATGCCCACTGCTGACCAAAGGCCTCTTCTCACACGGAGAAGTATTGAGCATTAATCACCACGCTTGCTCAATGTGAGTTGGCGATTACAAACTTATAATTAGAAATTATAAGCCCAGCCCTCACGATGTTTTTCCTTTACTGTTTGTCAGTGGTGTCTAAATAATCTTAGAAAGTACATATAACTCGGAAAAGTCACATTGGTACTTAATTAACTAAAAATCGCGGGTTACTCACGTGAATATACTGAGAAAATCTCCCTTGTCATGGGTGCGTTTACAAACATACAACTTCACATACACATGACACTCAGACCCAAAACAACTATTCGTGGATCACACAAAGAGTGGCTCCGTGCGGAAATCGAACCCACTGCACGTTGCGCGGCAGCCGGTTGCCGTGCAGTCAGATTGTCTTCAATGACCGCTTTCGATCATTAAAGTAGGGAATCAAATCAAATCAAATCAAATCATCTTTATTGTGGACTATAGGTAAATATTCTACGAATCTCTCCAGTCTCCAGTAATCTCACTCACACGACGAAACATAATAAAAGTCTTGGTTCACACCGTTGTACTGTAACTCAATGATCGCTCCACTTCACCCGAAGGTTGGCTTCCAACGAATTAACTGAGTGTAGGATCCCAAACATATAAACGTGGAAGAACTAGGCTTCGGCACGAATGGGCTCGACAGGAGTGATACCACCGACGTGAAACAACGCTTGCATTGTGTTTTGTCGTGTGAGTGAGATTACCGAAGGCCCAATTACCCGGCCTCCCCAATCCCTCCAATCCCTGAATCCCTATCAATATTCAAATTCCTAACTCCCAAAAGGCCAGTAACGCACTTGTAAAGCCTCTGTTGTTCCGAATGTCCATGGGCGACGCCGATTGCTTACCATCAGGTGATACGTCTGCTCGTTTACGGACGTATAACATAAATATACCTTGTTTATCAATAGAGATTTACTTCTTGTGTGGGATTAGGATGAGTACGTACTTTTGACATTTTTCTATTTTCTCCCATCGATGTGTAAAGATGTATTGCAAGTGTTTGGAGTTGAGAGAACTTAGGACGTGTCTACAGTATCTAGTAGCGAGGCGATATTAATTGATAGTTGTAGCTTACCTAACCGGTTTATTGAAGTGTGGAGTTGAGAAGGAAAGTTCAATTAGAATAGAAAGAAAGAGAAACATTTATTCAGCACCAGGCACGATGCAGCATAAATAAAATATAAAAAAGACTATAAAAGGAAGTAAGATAAACAGTGAAAAAAAGAAAACAGAAGAATCAGAAAGGAATATTAATCATACTGAAAATATGAACGCGATCCTAGGTCGCTTGTCGAGAATGGAGATTATGGGGAAATCTTCTTATGTAGACAAGGCTCACAGTCTATCAGTAGACTGTCAAAATGATGATAAATAAATAGACCTTGGTCATAAGCAAAATGGCGTGTAACTGTATCTAATATTATCAATTTATACGTATGTTGCCTGAGCATCAAGCTTCAACCTTGTTGAGAATAGTAAATAATTATAATCTTGATAGCTGTTTCTTAAGCATATGTGGTGCCATCTGGTGGCTCCAGTGTTAAATTGTACACATTATGATTGTTGGCAATTTTTCCTTATCTATGACAAAGCGTTGGTCTATGAAAAAAAAAAACTTTTCCCTCTCTTGAATAATGGCTGCGAGTGTGAACGGTGTACGTATTAAATAAAAGTTTACAAAAGTGTAATAAAAGTAAAGAAGAACAATAAAAGTCAAGTTAAAATATTCAAGCTTTTTATTTAACAAACCTGATATTATGTTTTCAAAATTATGAAAAAAAAAGTTCTCGGTAGGTTTGAGAATTTTATTTTTTTTGTTTTCTGTTAATTATCTGTCTCTTTTTCTCTCTATGTACGTATCAATACTTTTTACTAAAAAACTATAGCTTTGTCATATCTTTAGCACATCTCACTATACGCAACGGGCGACATTTCGCAATCCCGCGGCGCCGGAGTAGCGGTCTCTTAAACTTCTATATAAGACGAGCCGTTGCATAACCCCCACATAGACGCACGCGCATCAGGGGACTCTACACGTACGTACTATATTATTTTAATTAGTATTTCTTTAAGTAAATTAGTTGATATTGTATATGATCTAATGACTTGGTAGATCTTAATCAATGCCTATTTTAAATCAATTTTAAAAATATGGATAAAGAATTTAAAAAAATATTAAAGCTATGGTTATCCGTATGCCTAGCTAAAATACAAATAAAATTATATAAAAAAAAACTTCGACGTAATGACAATTGAAAACTATAAGAAATAAAAACAAATCACGCTAAAAATAAATAGTAACTATGTACAACTTCCATTTTTGGTGAATAAATATAATTATAGTAATAATTAATATATAGTAATATTACATTACTTATAATGGTATCGTTTACCGAATAAAACATTGCGATTATTGTAAAAAAATATGAATTAATAATAAAAGCCGTTTTGTTTAATAGAGTGTAGTATTAGGTACACAATTTATATTTTTTATGGATTTTGAGTTTTGAGTATTCATAATAACCTAATTTTGAGTTATTATGGTGTTTGTTGCATAGGACTACCTTTACCTAATTTATGTGATTCTATAAACGATGCAGTTTCTTGCACGGTCTACATTTTGGAACGAACAATATAGTTCCACTGAAAGGCTATTTTTTGACGTAGCAAAACAATAAGTTTAATTAAAATTGTATCAAAAAGAAACAAGTGCGTGATGTATTTTATTATAATCATACATAATATCTATATATACACTCGTTGCCAAGTGAATCTGGAATTGTGCCAGGTACATGGCAATAGGCTCACCCCCTATTACATGGGACTCATAACATAAATAGTGAAAAGTGGGTGTTACATTGTACAGTGGCATAATGTGCACCTCTGCCTACCCCTTCGGGGATAAAAGGCGTGATGTTATATTATTATTTTGTTATATCTCGTTTCCTAAACTTACAGAAAACGTAAAAAAAAAACACGAACATCTCCAAGATACTTTTTGAAGATTGAATTCCATTGGACGTATAAATTTTTTACACAGTAGGTAGGTACCGACCGGGTCAAAAATATTTAACTAGAGAAAAATAACATAAAGACAAGTGATTAACTATTTTCTTAAAATACTTTTACAGCATCGAAGGCAATAAATCTCAACAAAGGTCTACCTAGATTTCTAGCTAGACTGAAAGCTAGTTTCTTAAGACTTACAGTTAGGCACAGAACTAGACAATAGAATATAAATGCTATAAAACTTTACAACAACATTTGAGTACTGTTATTCAATATTGTTCAAAGTCAGTCAGTCAGTCAGTCCTACTCATGAAGCTTACATATGGCGATAGAAATTTTATCGTTTTCTGCGTAGAAATTCAATAAATTATTCAATTGAAATTTACTGAATACATAACATATCATCACGCCTTTTATTCACGAAAGGGTAGGCAGGGGTGCACATTACGGCACTTAATGCCACTGTACAATGGTAACACCCACTTTTCACTATTTATTTTATGAGTCTATGTTTTGCCATATACCGGGCACATTTCCAGACTCCGTGCTACCACTGAGAAAAACCCACTAATACTTTGCCTGAATCGGGAATCGAACCCGATACCCCTTTTCCGGCAGTCGCACTTGCGACCACTCGACCAATAAGGCAGTTACTGAATACCTCTATATATTTTTAGTTACCTAAAACTCTTTTTGATAAAATCATAATACAATCCAATTAATGCAATCTAGTGTTACTTGTGTCCATGGGCGACGCCGATTGCTTACCATCAGGTGATCCGTCTGCTCGATTACCGGCTTATCATTAACTCGTTGAGTACCGTCATCATAGACACAATTATAGAACAATAGGTCGCGGTCACCGGTGACCGCTTGGTGTTTGACAGTTTAAAAGAAATACAATATACCTTTTAAATCCCATGAGAGGTTATTCATGTCGAACCTGCTACTACTTGCTTGACAGTTTCAAACCATATTTATTATTACGCAAACATAATGAAATGTGCAATGCGAAATTTAAATCAGAATTATAACATACATACATAACTTCACGCCTTACTCCCATGGGGGTAGGCAAAGACTATGGAACGCCAATTACTACGATTCCTACATACCTCTTTCGCTTCATTAACAGTTTTCAATCTTTTTAAGCATGCTCGTCGGTTAAGAGTATTTTTAATTTGGCCCTTCTTTAATCTATCGCCAATCTGGTCAGTATATGTCCGTCTAGGGCGCCCTCTACCGACGGCCCCATTCATATGATCTAGTACCTAATTAAAAAATGTATTAGAACTCCCAAGATTTATGCTCTGCACAGCTTCTATTTGTCGTAGCGTGAGGTTTTATAGCCTATAGCCATCCTCGATAAATGCGCTATAAAACACAAAAATAATTATTCAAATCACACTTGTAGTTACGGAGATTAGCGCGTTCAAACAAACAAACAAACTATTCCGCTTTATCTATACTAATATTATAAAGCTGAAGAGTTTGTTTGTTTGAACGCGCTAATCTCCGAAACTACTAGTTCGAATTGAATAATTCTTTTTGTGTTGGATAGTCCCACATAACATTACGCTACGACCAATAGGAGCAAAGATATAGTGGTAAATGTGTAAAAAACAACGAGAAGAACGAGCAAGAAACTCCATTCATTACTCTTTTTAAAAAAGTATGTTCTACAATGTCTCTGATACATATTCCAATACTTTCCGTATATGTGAGAAAAATGCAAAGACACGCTTGACGCATTATACTAATTACAAAACTTACTAAAATAGAAAAAAATCAAAGAGATAAAATGCAGATAAAGCTGCTATAAATAACTATATAGGTAAACGAGTTACTAATATAATCCAACTGGTTTTATATTTTAATGGAACTCTGATTTCCTATAAAATGCCATAAATTTTATTATAGCGCCCTCTATGAATAAAATTAACATAATGTATTAGAATCTTTGAGATTATACATGCTTAGAAAGACTGCTTCGTTGGCCGAGTGGTCGCAAGTGCGACTGTCGGGTAAGGGGTCTCGGGTTCGATTCCCGGGTCGGGCAAAGTATGACAAATTTAAAAAAAAATCTCATTGGTAGCACGGAATCTAGAATTGAGCCTATATGGCAATTATTGCATAAAACTCATAACATAAATAGTGAAATGTGGGTGTTACATTGTGCAGTGGCATTAAGTGCCGTAATGGGCGCCTCTGCCTACTCCTTCGGGGATAAAAGGCGTGTTTTTATAAAATATATCGTGAGACATACTAAATTAACTAAAAAAATAGTAAAGCTTTTCTCAGTATACTCAGAGGGCAGTGAATAGGTTTCTTAAGAGGTCGGCAAGACGCATGTAATGCCCCAAGCGTTGCAGGCGTACATAGGCCACGGTAACTGCTTACCATCAGGTGGGCCGTGTATATATTATTTTTGCCACCGTCGTGGTATAAAAAAACCGATCTTTGGTTTATAAAAGGCGTGATGTTATATTATGTATCTTCTAAGTTCTAAGTACTTGAGGAATAGTTTGACCTGATACCTGCCGCATCTTTTCGCCATCGACCCTCACGACAGCATAAGCAACCCATCATATAGATGGTTGGCAGGCCACAACTGTGCGATTCTCACGTAGCTTCCTGCCTCGCGCAGCAAAACTGTGGAATAATCTGTCGTCGGCGGTATTCCCGAACCGATACGACCTTCAAACCTTCAAGAAAAGATCGTATTCCTTTTTAAAAGGCCGGCAACGCACCTGTGGCTCTTCTGGTGTTGCGGGTGTCCATGTGCGGCGCTGATCGCTTACCATCAGGGTGCTTACTCTTGAAACCAATCTCAATGTCAATCCAATAAAATGTCAATAATTTTTCAATGTCAAAACTGTACAACCCCTTTCGTAGCTGTTAAAATAGCATTCAGAGTACGGAATATAAAGCCAAACTCAATACCATTTTGTTCATTCAATATCCACGCAATACGGATGCAATGGGCGCTAGTGTGGACTCAAGAATACGAAAGTTCACAATACCAATGTCGATCGATCGGAATTGGATTCAAGAGTAAGCCCCCAGGTGATCCGTCTGCTCGTTTGCCTCCTATTCCATAAAAAAGTTGATTAATAAAAGTGTATACACCGATAGGTAAGTATTTAAAAATAATAGTTTAACAGTTATCCAAGCCATAACAGTTATAATTATAGTCAAGAATTTCTCATTCGTCACTTATAAGTACGTATTGGTGTACCGTTCTCCAAACCAGTTGCTCTCGGATGGAGGAAGCAAAAACATAATATACATATTCTAAGATTAAAGATAGTAATGTCAATTCTAACTAATGATCAGCTATATGTTACGATATACCGTTATTTTGCGATAAATAACATATAACATCTCGTCATTTATCCCCGAAGGGGTAGGCAGAGGCGCACTTTATGGCACTTAAACTGTCAAACACCAAGCGGTCACCGGTGACCGCAACTTATTGTTCTATAATTGTGTCTATATTGACGGTACTTGACGAGTTAATGCTATTGTACAATAACCCCTCGACTGTCGATCGACCATCTCCTGGTCGATATCTAATCGTGAATACACAATTTTCACTATTTATGTTATGAGACCCATGTAATAGGGGGTGAGCCTATTGCCGTATACCGGGCACAATTCCAGACTCTGTGCTACTATTGAGAATTTTATTTGAAAACCGAGTAATACTTTGCTCGTACCGGGAATCGAACCCGAGAACCCTTGGCCGGCAGTCGCACTTGCGACCACTCGGCCAATGAGGCCGGCAATTTAGAAGAATAATTACTATTACAATACAATAAAACTGAAGAGTTTGTATCATTAAAGGCTCTAAGCATATCTTCTCTGTCGTTTCGCTCTTGGCAGAGCGGTCGTGGTCACGTTGAGGCGGCCGTATTTGTGTTGGTGGCCGATACAGCTTTCCTCACGATCTCCCGCCATCTCTCTCTGTTTGTGGATTGTCTGGCGCAGTCTGACACTGGGTTTCCCGTTGCCGATTTGACTTGCATAAGTTCTAAGCATATGCATGTAGTAAAAAGCGGTTGTTACTCTATTACAAATAGACACTATAATTGAGTACTCGCCAACAAGTCAAATTCAATACTTTTTTCGAACTGTCAAAAACGACAGTTTTCTATGAATTTTGTACGAGATTGTGTATTGTGACGTCACGTTTTTTTAACGTCAAACAGCTTACTTATTATATTATTATGTTTTCGGCTTACTCACGTAATTATTTGACGAGGAACTCGACTAGTTTCAAGCTATACTAGAGGCTCATATTCGTGAGCAGCATTTCGCGACCCGCGACGCGGCTACTGTCGCGCTGCTACTCACATAATAATATATTTAGTATGTCTCACAAAAGTTACAATACAAGGATATTTATTTCTTAAAATTTGCTGCAAAAATACTAAAATTAAAGTTAGTCATGAAATCAATTAATGAAAGTGTGATTATTTTTTAAAATTTTATTGTATTGAACAGTCGAAATAATTTATTTTTGACTAGCGACCCGCCCCGGCTTCGCATGGATTCAATATTCATGTACACATATAAACCTTTCCTAAGAATCACTCTATCTATTAAAAAAAACCGCATCAAAATCCGTTGCGTAGTTTTAAAGATCTAAGCATACATAGGGACAGACAGACGGCGGATAGCGACTTTGTTTTATACTATGTAGTGATTAAGGAAAGTACCCGATTTTATTTATCTCTATAGATCACGATCACAATAATAATTGACCACACACACTGCCCAAGCGTTTAAAAAACTCTTCAATATACCTAACAGTTATTTCATTAAACCAATAACTAGAGTTCGATGGCCGACCCAACCGGTTAGTACTTGATGGCAATCACCATACCTTATGGTGTTTACCTACTATGTTATTGGGTATCATCATGGCTACATAGTACAAATAAACAGTCGCTTTCTACAGTCTGTGTGTCTGCATGTTTTTTTTTATTATTTTTTTAAGGAGGGAAAATCATCACAAATGACTGCTTCCGCCTTAGTGAGGCGGGAGGGTGTCAGACTCTTACTGACTAAAAACCACCCCGTTCCTTCTCCTGTACGTCGAGCCGGAGCGTCGGTAACCCGTTAGGTTCTCCGCGACTCCGAATTGGCATCGGCCCTGTTTGGCCCCATCTGGTGTCTGTATGCTTAGATCTGTCAGGTCGATAATGTACTGTGGTACTCCACAAGTTACTACTTCGGCTATGTTTTCCACACGGACGCAGTCGCGCGTACAGCTATATTATATATACCTTCATTTTAAACTAGCTTCTGCCCGCGACTTCGTACGCGTAATCCCATTTTTTCCCGTCCCCGTTCGTGATTTTCGGTAAAAAGTAAAAGAGAAGTATTGGTTAAAAAGTATCCTATGTCGGTCTCCTGGCTCTAAGCTACCTCCCTACCAATTTTCAGCCAAATCTATTATGCCGTTCTTGAGTTATAAGTGGTGTAACTAACACGACTTTCTTTTATAAATATAGATTAATTCTATTAAATATACCCTATCAAAATCTGCTTTCTAATGGGATAAGCCGGTAAACGAGCAGACGGATCACCTGATGGTAAGCAATCGGCGTCGTCCATGGATACCCGGAACACCAAAGGCGTTACAAGTGCGTTACCGGCCTTTTGAGGATTAGGAATATAATTCATGGGATTCAGGAATTGGGGATGGGGAGTAATTGGGCCTACGGTAACCTCACTCAACGCAAGTGCTGTTTCATGTCAGTTTTCTGCTCGGCCGTGGTATCACTCCGGTTGAACCGGCCCTTTCGTGCCGAAGCATGGCTTTCCCACACTTAACTTACACTGTTGCATAATTCTAAAGATCTGGTTTTGCCCCCTCAATAAAGGGGTGAGCAAAGTTGAACATCAAAATGTCGTTAAGTAGCACCTATTGTAGCTTAGGACTCCTTTAATTTTAAGAGAGGCATTAATACACCGTAATAAAAGAGTGGGTTTAATAATAAACATGGTTTATGAACTTTGTTATTTATGCTTTGTCGAAAATAATTTTATTACTAAACTAATTTATGTATAAAAAGGTCTGTAGGTAATAAAAGCTGTGAAATGTAACATTAATTAATTTTATTTAATTACATACCATAATATATATCGGTTGTAACATCATTTAATATGAAACTTTTATGGATTCGTAAAAATGTACCGAAATTAGAGTAACGGTGCATTTATATTTATGAACATCAACTAAATCATACATAATGTATGTTTGTGTATAACAAATACTAGACTTATATGTATACCATGGTATCTTACTATATCAGGTAATATAATATTGACGACTCACCCCCTATTACATGTGACTCATAACATGTATAGTGAAAAGTGGGTGTTACATTGTACAGTGGCATTAAGTGCCGTAATGTGCACCTCTGCCTACCCCTTCGGAGGTAAAAGGCGTGATAATATGTAATACGTACGACTTTCTTAATGTTCACGGGCCGATTGTTCAATATAAACAGCCTATAAATGCCTACTGCTGAGCAAGCCCCTTCTCACAAGTAGAAGGTTTGAGTATTAATCACCACGCTTGCCTTGCTTACTTGGGTTGATGATTACAAACTTATAATTAGAAATATATAAAACATTTATTTATTTATTTCCATACTCACAGCTAACATCAATGCGATATTAATATGAAATGAACAGTGGGTGGAACCGTGGGCACAGCTAGTAATCAATAACTATGAAAATTAAAAAATATGATTGTTGTTTGTTACAGATATTCAAAGATGGGGCTACATCGATTACTTAGAGTCGTCCTGCTGTGTGCTGTCAGCTACACCAGCGCCTCCGTGGTGGGCGATGGAGAAAACTATAGAAGTAAGTCTTAAAAAAAAAAAAGTAAGTCTTAGTGAAATCCCTAAAATCCTCAAACCCGAATTCCAATTGTTTAATTCGGAACCTGGAATCCCAATTTCCAAACCAGAACCGTACATCCCGAACCCCGTAGCTTAAATCCCGAATCCCAAATCCCAGATACTGATCCCGAATTGCCAATCACCAATCCCGATTCTCGAATCCCTATTCCACAATTGCCGATCTCTTATCGTCCAATCTCCGTTCCGCAAAAACTCAATCCCAATCACCGATTCCCCATCACCACACGCCAAGTACTTAAATAATCTATAATGTACATTAAAAATCTAAAACAATACTATAGTCTCTACACTGATACAAACTAATATGAATCTTTCCACCACCAGTGGGTCGTCAATCACCAAGTATCTTCAACGTGGGCAATGGCGAGCAGTGCCTGGGCAGCGACAGACTGACCGGCGGTGTCTGTCTGTCCAGAAATCAGTGTAACACGCAAGGAGGCAAAGCTATTGGTTTCTGTGGAGTCTTCGCGACATGCTGTTCATGTAAGTGGATGTTCTAGGCTATAATTTATTGTGGGATGTAGTTAATTAATTGGAATGTGACATAACAAATTGCGTAGATTCCAGGGTATCAAAATTAAAGATCGAATTAGTCCGTCATTTAGATAATGAAAAAATATTAGACACGTATTTCTTTTATTTTCTCGTATAAAGTTACAATACTTAGATAAAATGGCGCTAAGTTTAGGAGTGGGAGGTTGTTACGTCATAACGTGCTACAAAATGTGACACGCTGTGACGTCATACGATATTTCAAATTAATATATCGTCGAAAGTATATAATTTTGTGAGAAAAGAAAAAATACGTGTCTAATACTTTAAACTAATCTACCAGACGGGCATTAAAATGAAATTTAGGAAACTACCCTATTAGTTACTCGATTTATTGATACTATTAGCAACGACATAACGTCACGGCTTTTATCCCCGAAGGGGTAGGCAGAGGTGCACATTACGGCACTTAATGCCACTGTACAATGTGACACGCACTTTTCACTATTTATGTTATGAATTCCATGTAATAGGAGGTGAGCCTACTACCATATACTGGCCACAATTCCAGACTCCGTGCTACTACTGAGAATTTTTAAAAAAAACCTAGTAATATTTTGCTCGATCCGGGAATCGAACCCGAGACTCCTTGCCCGGCAGTCACATTTGCGAACACTCGGCCAACGTTAGTTATTTAACATAAAAAGCTTTTTTGTGTTTTTTAGTGGATTTCTAATATATTTGTGGTAATGACCTATCCTATGTCGTGGTAGCCCAGAGTTTTTAGACGCCCGCTTCTCATGCATGAGGATGCGGGTTCGAAACCTATCAACGGCAAGTGCCAATGTGACTTTTTCCGAGTTATATGTACTTTCTAAGATTATTTAGACACCACTGACAAACGGTAAAGGAAAATATCGTAAGGAAACCTTAGCTTGTAATGTCTAATTATAGGTTTGTAATCGCCATCCCGCATTGAGCAAGCGTGGTGATCAATCCTCAAACTTCGTGTGAGAAGAGGTTTTGCTCAGCAGTGGGCATTTAGAAGCTGTTGATGATGATGATAATGAATGACCTACCCCAAGTTCCAGCGTAGCTTTAAGACTATAACGACCACTCGTATATCCCATTAAAAAAATTATTAATCGTCGAATCAATCTAAGTTTTGGATAATAATTCAATCAGATAAGTAATTAAATACCATAAATTATCTTAAAAACGATCTAACGATGATTTTCTTTCCAGTAAATGCGTGTGACATTCGCACGCAGACGAAGGTGGCAGTGTTCATCAACCCTCCCCTCAACAGGGAGTCCTCCGGCCTGGAGTGTTCCTACAATGTTGAGATCAACAACAACAACGTCTGTCAGATGAGGATCGATTTCGAAACCTTCAACTTGGCTCCTCCTACTACTGTAAGTGAATTTTAAATACATATATTTTTATTATTTAATTATTATTTTTAGTCATGATCGTCACACTACAGGGCAAAGGCCCCCCTACTCTCCTTCAACTCCTCTCTATAATTTATTATTTGTAAATGTTGCCTCACACTAGGATACAATTTCACATACACATGACACCCAGACCCAAAACAAAAATTTGTAGATCACATAATGAGTCGTTCCGGGTGGTAATCGAACCCGCGACACGTATGAATTTCTTATTCGCTGCGCTGAATAAAATTGGAAAGGTCAGACATAATTCCATTAATGAAAAATTTTGCAATCAGAATACAGAATATTCCACGAAATTATATACTTATATAATATACTATTCAGGACAGCTCGACTAGTTTCGAGCTGCAGCGGGGCTTTTAATCAGCATATGCAGGGAACGATTAGCGCAATAATCATTTTTGAATGTTAACACACATAATATTTTTGGTATATCGATCGACAATACAATAATTTTGTGGTACTGTGTATCAAAAAAGTCTAATTCACCATTTTTATCTCCAGGTGGACCCTGTAGAGAACGTGACACAACGTCCAGGCTACATCTGCAGGAACGACATCTTCCAAGTGACCAACCTCCAAGCTAACTCCGACTTCTTGCCTCCACTCTGCGGTGACAACAGCGGACAACATAGTGAGTATCACCACTTTTCAGAAGTAGAAATTTATCAGAGAGCTGTACTACCCAGTCGCTGTAGAGTGTCATCCACGCAAATTGAACAGAAATATATTTTATTTATTTATGCATAACACAGAGACAGTACATAGGAGAATACATATATAAATAATTTGGAGTTATATAGGTACTACATATTCCCGTAGGAATCTCTTCCTGCAGTCCTTCGACAGGAAAAACAGTAAAAACTAACACTGTATGTAACACAGAATAAACAAAAAAAACAAAAATTACCAAAATTTAAGCCTTTAAGTACTTATAACTACATACACAAAATATATATAACCGATAAATAATGTATTGAATAAATAGATCTCAATAAAATACATAGATATAAATACATACACATCAAATAATACACATAGAGTACAAATAAACTAAACGGTGGCTGGGCAACCGGCTGCCGTGCAACGTGCCACGGGTTCGATTCCCGCACGGAACAACACTTTGTGTGATCCACAGATTGTTGTTTCGGGTCTGGGTGTCATTCTGTATGTGAACTTGTATGTTTGTAAACGCACCCACGACACAGGAGACAATCCTAGTGTGGGGCAACGTTTTATTAAAAAAAAAATAATAAAAAAAACATATTATACATACATTTAAGACACTAATTTGCACAAGATGAGGAAAGGTAATGCTCCCTTACGAGTCTTTTAAAGATTGGGATGGATTTTGAGTCACGGATGGTAGGTGGTAGGGAATTCCAAAGTCGTACTGCATGAACATGAAGGAATAGGAGTAAAAGTCAGTATTGTGTGAGACAACAGAAAGGTTAGATTTAAGATGAGATCAGGAAAAAGGGCGGGATTTTGCTACCCCTCGATATCTTGTGGTTTCCAATTAATAATAATTTGTTTTACCTCCAAGAAATATCAATCACAATTATGGTTTTTCTTCACAGTCTACGTCAGAGTGAACGCCTCCACCAACAGCAGAGCCATTCGTATTAACTTTAAGATCGCTGACCGAAGCTCTCAGCCTAACCTTCCTCAAGCCACCTGGAAGATCAAGGTCACACAGCTCGAGTGCTTCAATACTCTTGGGTAAGATTCTTTTTTTATGGCATAGGCTGGCAAACGAAACAAATCACCTGATGGTAAGCAATGGGCGCGGCCCATGGATACTCGCAACATTAGCGTTACAAGTGCGTTGCCAGTGTTTTGACGACAATGATTTGACAACGACAAATCATATGAAAATATCACATAATATGATTTTGCTGAGGTCTAACGTAATTAATTGAGGGCATGGGCATAATTGTACCAGGCCTTGACGAGCCAACGCAATAAACAAGTAACACATTTTTACGTGTTACTTGTTTATCTGTTCTATTATTGCATTTGTATTAACATAACATCACGCCTTTTATCCCCGAAGGAGTAGGCAGAGGTGCACATTATACCACTGTACAACTATTTATACCTACTTTTCACTATTTATGTTATGAGTCCCATGTAATAGAGGATGAGCCTATTGCCATATACCGGGCACAATTCCGAATTCCGTGCTACTAGTGATATTTTTTTTATAACCAGTAATACTTTGCCCGACCCGGGAATCGAACCCGAGACCCCTTGCCCGGCAGTCGCACTTACGACCACTCGGCCAACGAGGCAGTCTATTATTGTTGATATTATAATTATGTGCATAATCCTATTCTGCGCATGCTGCTCACGAGGAAGAGCCCCTCTGTGGCTTGAAACTAGTCGAGCTTATCTCAGTAATTCCACGTGAGTAACCTCCAAATTTTAATTAATAATTTTATTGTTTTGTCTCCAGCAAATACCGTGACGGTATCCTCGAGACCTGGACCGCTGCGCTCCCCTCAACACCATTCACGTCATCAGCTGACAGAGACGAGTACCTCATTGGTAAGAACCTTCTAAAATTATTTAGACACCACTCGCAAACGATGAAGGAAAACATCGTGAAGAGATCTGAGCTTATAATTTCTAATTATAAGTTTGTAGCTGTCAACCCGCATTGAGCAAGCGTGGTTATTAATGCTCAAACCTTCTCCGTGTGAGAAGAGGTCTTTCCTCAGCAGTAGGAACTTAAAGGTTGTTGATTTGAAGTGAATTATGATGTGGGCAGTGAAGGAGATTCAAATAACGCAACCAATTAATAGACAGGTAGATTATTAAAGGTTACAATGAAATATTAAAACTAAGTACTTAAAATTAGCGTCCTAACGTCCCGATGTTAGACGACAAAAGGCGTCTTGAGAAGTCGGCGAACGGTTTTCATAAATCGATTAAATCGTGTTGCACAATCTCGAAGAAGGACGATTGTATGATGTTCTTCACCTGACCTAGTAATAATGAGCCAATGTTTTGCAGCACCTCCCGGCTGTCTCCAATACTACCCGGACCGCGCTGGAGCCTTTGAGTCATTCAACTACAACCGAGGAGCTGGACCATACATTGCCAACCTGGTATATTCCACTTGCTTCAAAAAGAGCCCAGATGTCTGTGGAATCAAGTGAGTTTCATTCCTTCTATGTCCAATTTATCTACACCGTGAAATCTATTTCGTTTTCGTCTCGGAGTAAAACGGAGCTTACTCTTGAATCCAATTCCGATCGATCGACATTGGTATTGTGAAATTTCGTACTCTTGAGTTGCAACACTAGCGCCCATTGCATCCGTATTGCGTGGATATTGAATGAACTAAACGGTATTGAGTTCAGCTTCATATTCCGTACTCTGAATGCTATTGTACAGATACATTAGGGGTTGTATAGTTTGGAGGAGAGGGCAAGCGAGCTTAGTTCGCTTGCTGTTGGCGGGGAGAGCCAGGGTGGCTCTGGAACCCGTGGGGAAGCGTTGGAGTCGTCCAGCCAAACCCTCACACGGGCCTTAAGTCGGAGGATGTCGGAAGCAGAGTCTGACTACTCTTCCGCATCTGGCGCTTACTCATTGCGCAGCTTGAGTTCACAGCGCCAAAAAAAGGGGACGTTTAAACGTCCCAGGTTGAAGGAGGGCGGGGATCCGTCCTCCAACGAGCAGGAGGCTCCAGCCCCTAAGATCCCTACGGCTGCGCGGGGTAGGGGTCGAAGAAAGGGCTGCGAGAGGCCGATGGCCGCTACTCGGGCCGAGTCAGCTGAAGCTGACTCATCAGAATCTGGCGGCGAGGGCTCGGTAGGCGACCTTGGTGCCATAAATGGCGACCTTTGCAAGGTGGTCAAACAAACACTCCGGACGGTGGCTGAGCAGAAGTCCGAGAAGGGCCGAAACGGAGTGTTAAGGCAAGCGAAGGCAGCCATTATGAAAGCGGCTCGACAGTGTGGACTGCCTTCAGCGGCAGGGCAGCAGATGGCCGCCTTGCAAAAAGAGCTGGGGGAGATGCGCCGAGAAATGATCCGGCTGACAGCCTCCAATGCGGCTATGGAGGACGAGCTTCGGTCAGCCAAGGCCGAGCTCGCCGCTGCTCGCGAGGGTCGACCCCGAGCCTCGCAGCCAGTGGAGGCCGACATAATCGGCCTGGTGCGGCGGGAGATGGCTGCGTTCCAGCAGCGTTTTGACGTGCTGGAGAGCAGGATCCTCCGCCCCCCACTCGCAGGGAGTCAAGCAGCACCGCGCACATTTGCGGCTGCGGCGGCTATGCCGACTACTCCTGGTCGGTCCAGCGGTGTCCGGGCCCAACCGCCGGCGGCTTCGCCGGCGCAGGCTTCAGCTGAAACGGTGGTGAGGGCGCCAACAGTTCGTAGGCGTGGGGGCGCCGTGCCTGGGCCGTCTACTGCCCCAGCTGTGGAGCCTACCCGAACTTCGGGTTCCCCTGCCAGCGGCGGCGGATGGCAGGTGGTCGGAGAGGCGAGGAGGGTCGCCAAGGAAGGGCGAAAGCGCCGAAAAAAGGAGCAGCGGCAGAGGCAGCGGCAGCGGCGCAAGGAAAAGCGCGCTGCGGCAATGCTTGTCGCCCCTAAAACCGCGGCTGTAGTGATAACTCTACAGCCGGACGCGGTCAAAAGAGGCGTGACATATGGCGACATCCTCGCCAAACTGAAGCAGGCGGTAACTCCCGCGGAGTACGGGGCCCCTAACGGGTTCTCTTTGAAAGTGACGGCGACTGGAGCCCGTTTACTAGAGGTCCCCGGCGCGACCAGCGGTCCAACCGCTGACGCTCTAGCCGAAAGGCTCAGGGTGTGCCTTGGTGCAGACGAGGCTCGCGTGTCAAGGCCAACCAAGTGCCTGGAGTTGCGTATAATGGGCCTGGACGACTCCGTGACGGAGGAGGAGGTTGTGGCCGCTGTGGCCAGGACGGGTGAGTGCCCTGCAGAGCAGGTTAAGACCGGCACCATCCGTCCAGATAATTCGGGGTTGCGAACGGTTGTAGTGAGCTGCCCCGTCTCAGCGGCCAAGAAAATAAAGGAGGGTCGAAGGCTCCTGGTAGGCTGGGTCTCGGCGCAGGTCAAACTGCTCGAGGTCCGACCTATAAGGTGTTTCCGCTGCCACGTAGGTGACCACGTGAGCGCTAGGTGCACCTCGGAGGTGGACCGCAGTGACTGCTGCTTCCGTTGCGGTCAGCCCGGTCACAGAGCCGGCTCGTGCTCTGCCCCGCTACACTGTCACGCATGTGCGGCGGTTGGTAAGCCGGCCAATCACCGGGTCGGGAGCAAGGCCTGTTCCCCTCCTGCCAAATCCCGGGGCAAGGGTAGGCCCTCCGCTGTCCCCGTCAGTCCCGCCCCCGCCGCTGCAGTCGCCACTAATGCCGTCGCCGCGGCCACCACTGGCTGTAATGCCGTCAGGGAGGAGGCTGGGATGGATTGCCAATAATAGCTCCATTCCGCCTCCTTCAGGCGAACATCAACCACTGCGCCGCCGCTCAGGATCTCCTGCTTCAGAGCATGGCGCAGTGGTCAATAAATGTCGCTGTGGTCTCCGAGCCGTATTTTGTCCCGCCCAGGGATCACTGGGTGGCGGACTTGGACGGCTCGGTGACCATCATCTCGTCAGCCGCCGCCGGTACCCCGACTCTCGAGGCCGTTCAGAGAGGCCGGGGTTGTGTCGCAGCACGGTTCGGAGAGATCGCTGTGGTGGGCGTGTATTTCTCTCCGAACCGAACTCTCGCCGAGTTCCACAACTCCCTGAGGGAGTTGGTCGCCGTCGTTGTCGGGTTCCGTTCCCTCCCCGTGCTAGTCCTCGGGGACTTCAATGCCAAAAACTTGGCTTGGGGTTCCCGGTTTACTGATGTTCGGGGTAGGATGGTGGAAGACTGGGCCCTTGAGGCAGGCCTAGTCGTCCTGAACCGGGGTTCTGTCCCCACGTGCGTGCGGATGCAGGGCGAGTCGGTGGTGGACATTTCGTTCGCTAGCCCTGCTCTATCACCGCGTGTCGTTGACTGGCGTGTCATGGAGGAGGTGGAAACGTACTCCGACCACCGGTATATCCGGTTTAACGTCTCCACCGAGTCCGCGGACCCGCCGGTCAGACAGGCCCCATGTGGCCCGCGTTGGGCGCTGAGACAGCTGGACCGGGAGCTATTCCTGGAAGCCGCAATCGTGCAGGCCTGGGTGATACCACCGCACAGGCCTGCCGACATCGACGAGGAGGCGAGGTGGCTCCAGGACGCCATGTCCAGAATCTGTGACGTGGCGATGCCCCGGGTCCGGCCAGGTCAGCGCAAGCGCCAGACGTACTGGTGGTCGCAAGAGCTGGCTGCTCTACGCAGTGCATGCACTGCTGCGCGACGCCGGTACACCAGGCACCGCAGGCTTCGTATCCGTCCTCAGGACGCAGAGGTCAGAGAGGCGGAGTTGTACGAGGGGTACAAGGCGGCGAAGGCCGCCCTCAAAGCGGAGATACGGCGGGCCAAAGAGAATGCCCTCCAGGAGTTCTTGGAGACTCTGAACAGAGACCCGTGGGGACGCCCCTATCGGATGGTGCGGGATAAGCTCCGCACATGGGCTCCCCCGCTGACTCAGAGTCTCCGGCCAGAGGTAGTGGAGGAGGTGGTCGGCGCCTTGTTCCCCCGACTACAGAGGGGTTTCACCCCTCCGTCCATGACTCCGCCCCCTGCGGTGCCCTATGCGGGCCACAGCGAAGACGACGGCGACACAGTTTCGGAGGTGACCGAGGCCGAGTTGAGAGCGGCGGTGCGCCGGATGGGCGCCAAGAACACCGCCCCGGGACCCGACGGACTGCACGGCAAGGCGTGGGTCCTGGCCTCGGAGGCTCTCGAGCCTCGATTAATTGGTCTCTACAGCGCATGCTTGGAGAGGGGCCAGTTCCCGCAATTGTGGAAGGCGGGTAAATTGGTCCTAGTGAAGAAGCCGGGGCGCCCTGCGGACTCTCCGTCTGCGTACCGGCCCATCGTGTTGCTCGACGAGGTGGGAAAAGTTTTCGAAAGGATCATTTCGAACCGCCTCGTCGCGCACCTGTCGGATGTTGGGCCGGACCTGTCGGACGGCCAGTTCGGCTTCCGCAGAGGGCGTTCCACGGTGGACGCCATCATGCGTGTAAGAGACCTCACGACGGGGACTGCAGTGTCCAGGGGTAAGGTCGTAGTGGCGGTGTCCTTGGACATCGCCAATGCCTTCAACTCCCTGCCCTGGAGCTGCATTTTGGAGGCACTTCGATATCATCGGGTGCCCACCTATCTCCGTCGTGTAATCGAGGCATACCTGACGGAACGGTCCGTCATTTACCCCGGTCACCGAGGTGAGTGGAACCGACGAGAGACGTCGCGCGGTGTTCCACAGGGTTCGGTTTTGGGGCCGCTCCTGTGGAACATCGGCTATGACTGGGTGCTGCGCACCGACCTCCCGAACAACGTCAGCGTGGTCTGTTACGCTGACGACACACTGGTGGTAGCTCAAGGGAGGTCGCATCAGGCGGCGGCTAATTTAACGGCGAGAGCGGTTACGACAGTCGTTGAAAGAATCCGGCAACTGGGACTCGAGGTGGCGCTCCACAAGTCCGAGGCCATGTGTTTTTATGGCCGCGGGAACGCGCCACCTCCGGGTGAGTCTCAATTAACGGCGGGAGGAGTTACCATCGGCGTCGAGACGACGATGAAGTACCTAGGACTCGTCCTCGACAGTCGGTGGAACTTCGTGGAGCATTTCCGACGTTTGGCTCCTAAGTTGGAAAGGACGGGGGCGGCGCTTAAGCGCCTCCTACCCAACCTCGGGGGGCCAAACGCCTCCTGCCGGAGGTTATACGCCGGGGTCGTGCGGTCCATGGCCCTCTACGGCGCCCCTGTGTGGGCGCCGAACCTGATGCGGCGGCCCGCTCGGGCGCTGCTCACATCACAGAGGGTCATGGCGATCCGATTGATACGCGGATATCGCACGATCTCCGGGGAGGCGGCGAACCTCCTTGCCGGATTACCGCCGTGGGATCTGGAGGCGAAGGTGCTCGCGCGCGTGTTTTGTTTGCGCGCGGAGGCACGTCGCCGGGGCGAATCTCCGCTGCCGCGCCAGATTAATGCGTGGCGGGATGAGCTCCGGCGTGATCTCATGGCGGAATGGCAGCAACGACTGTCGCAACCGAAGGCTGGGCTCGCTGTCATTGCAGCGGTAAGTCCCCTCTTTGAGGAGTGGCTTGAGAGACGCTACGGCGTCCTCACCTACCGCCTGACGCAGGTGCTTACCGGACACGGGAGTTTCGGTAGGTTCCTGTTTCGGATTGGGCGGGAGGAAACGCCCGGGTGTCATCACTGCGAGGATCGCCCGGAGGACACGGTGGAGCATACGGTGGCGGTGTGTCCTGCGTGGACTGAGCACCGCCGTGTCCTCAGGAATGTGATCGGCGACGGCGACCTCTCGCATCCGGCTCTGGTTCAGACCATGGTACGGAGCGAGGGGGACTGGGATGCCGTCTCCTCCTTCTGCGAAGCAGTCATGCTAGCTAAGGAGGAGGCGGAGCGCGTGAGGGAACGAACCTCCTCACGACCCGGCCGTCGCGAGAGACACTCCGGGCGTCGGGGATCGCGAGACGATCTCCGGCCACCGTAAGCACGGGCCTGCGGACGGCGAGCACGGGTGACTCGCCGCCCGACCAGAACCAGGCCCGAGCGTACGGCGCGTCGCGTTCCGCGCGCGCCTCAAGGAGCCATCAGACCACCACAGATGGGGCCTAACAGGGCTGATGCCGATACGGAGCCGCGGAAGACTTAACGGGTTGCCGGGGCTCCGGCTCGAAGTGCAGGAGTAGGAACGGGGTGGTTTTTAGTCAGTAAGAGTCTGACACTCCCTCCCGCCTCACCCGGGCGGGAGAAGTCATTGGATGATTTTCCCCCCTCAAAAAAAAAAAAAAAAAGGGGTTGTATAGTTTTGACATTGAATAAATATTGAGATTTTATTGGATTGAAATTGCATTGATATTGAGATTGGTTTCAAGAGTAAGCCTGCAGTTCTGTCTTGAGAATACAATAGTTTGACATAGAAATAAAATGTTTAAAAACAAAAAATAACTGGTGAACTACTGCAAAAAAGTAAACTTCGAAAGCGCATACGACCAGTACATTATCAAAACATGTAATTCTCGAAGAGATATTTTTCGTCGGGTGGCACTTGGGATGGGAAAAGTGCCTACAAATTTACGTCTCTGTTCTTGGACGGGTGCCGTGAACTGCGACTGGTCAGCTCCATACTGTATGATTTTATTATCGTTAGCGTTTTTCTATTACGACCTCTGACTGGATTTTGGTGTGACATAGTTCTCACACAATCGAACCAACAAACTATGTAACTAGAGAATTGTATCGTGAACCTGATAGAAAAAGAGTAACCTATGAAGTTTTTTGCTCGTTCTTCTACCTACATAAAAATCTACACCTTGGAATGAGCAAATAACTTCATTTTAAATTTTTTGTTGTCGATCAAAAGTGCCTTCCTGGTCTAAACGAAATAAATGATTTTGATTTCGACCAGTGAGATCCAGGAACCGTAGCTCTGTTTTCTAATTCGATTTTCCTTGCAGATTCACATCAGCCAGCTTCAACCTAGCCTACAGAGATGATTCGAACCTATACCTCGACACTGATTGCCAAGTGAACCCAGTCACGCGAGGATCAGCTCAGTCTGAAGACTACTTATTCATTCCTGAAGCTGAAACTGCTGATGGACTGAGAGGCGCCAAGTTCTGCGGCAGCAGTGCAGCTTCACAAATCATTGCCTGTAAGTTTCCCCTTATTTACAAAATGCTCTTAAATTTTAAGGAAAACCAAAGCCAAGATAGGTGACACTTAATGATATTTTGGTTTTCAATAACCTCTAAGTGACAATTAACAGGTGAGCGGTTTGTTTAGATGCGCTAAGTAACTCTTAGTTAAGAGATGATTTAGGGGTGTTTAGAAGATTGAATATAGTGTAGTGACAAAATGCACTATATCTAAAAGATTTATTAATCTCAATCGACGTCAAAAGAAGTAAAGATGTATGTATGTACGTACATATATTTGTCTGAGACTATCTCACGATTGGCTGAACCTATTTTAATGTGGTCTTCAGAAATGTGTTCAATACACTTAGAGGTAGAATCAGGTATTAGCACATTAACCGACTTCAAGAATGGTTTTTAAACGTATTTATAATACCCAGTTACAATTTTTTTTCTTTCTATTACAGCTACTCCACCAGGTCCCCTGTACGTGCACTTCCGCAGTGACAACTTGGTGACCCAGGATATACCTGAAGAAGGATACAGGTTTAACTATAACGTTCTAAATAACTGCTTTTTCAAAAAGTAGTTATTTTAACCGTTATTTTTAAGTTAAACCGAGAAATCGTTGATAAAGGTTCATTTTGATTTAAGTAGATGGCGTTCCTTAATCGAAAATTGTAATACTTGAGCTATCTCTTAGATAAAATTATCAGAGAGTTGTGTAAATTGAAAATAAGTACAATCAAAGTGTTGACAACGTTTTTTGGCAATTAAAATTACGAATTTAAAGAGAGACGTTTTGTCTGGGCATTCAGTTGTTTCCTTGATTGTACTTTGAGATTATATTTTTTGAAATTAGAAATCAAGGCATGACAAGTATGTATTTTATAACGAAAAGTATTATGAAAATCATTATTTTTTCTTTTGTATAGTTGTTTGGTTTTTTCGTTGGTTTTTTTCAAGTATTGAATCTGTTTGAGATTTCATGTTATAGATTGCTTCTTGCTCGCTTCTTGAAAGAAAACAACACCTTCGAGTTGTTTATTAACAAAAACAACGCGATAGGTCTTAGTTTTCAACGAGGTTTTCAACCACATTGAGCGCTTTTCAAAATGACAGCTGTCAAAATTTTCAACATGGCCGTTAAAATGGCGGCTTAATACCACATTTTTTGTTACACGTATGTGCTTTGACAATACTATTATTTGGTAATATATTGTTTAAAATATTGAATAGTGTTGAATGTGTTTGTGCTCGAAAAACATGTGTATTTTAACTTATACATTATGTGTTTAATTTTATGAAATGCATTTATTAATTTTATCTAGGGCATTTATTTTGCATTTATAGATGTAATAAAGAATTTTATAAAATTGTATCACTTTTCTTATTTAATCGCCGGAGCCCCGAACAATTAAATTATTAACATAATATGTAAAGCGAGTCATCAATCAAAGTGGTCGATTGTATGTAAATAGAGCGCCCAATATCTACCTTTTCTATCAGAATTGAAAAGCAATTAATAAAAAAGATAATAAAACACTTTTCATATATTGTTTTGTACTATTTATTAATCTTATCAGCCTTTTATAAAACAAATGTAAAGGCATTTATTTTAAAACTTTAGAAAACATACTACTATTGCCATCTATCGTATCTATCTGGAAATTCGTGCACTGGAGCCTTACTTATGGTGGCATTTAAGGTATGAGTTTAAACGTCTATAGCGCAGTATTAAGTTCAACGACAGAGCGATAGATGGCGTTTATTTCAAATTAAATAAAGTTACACTTTAATTCCTGAAGGGGCAGGCAGAGGAAAACATAATAATATACAATTAATATTACATGCACGTTTTTCACCAGTTGTTACTGTTAATGTTCAAAGACTCAAAGTCGAACGACAAAACTAGACGCTTTCTAAAATATAAATAATACTGTCACTATAATTTGAAATAATTTCTTTGTACGATGACAGAGAAAGCACTATGTTTAAGTACAACATTTAAGTATTCGGATTACCGATTACTCTTAGGTAACTATAAAATGCCCATTACTGAGCAATGGCCTCTTCTGCAACAGAAAAGGAATAAGCATTAATCACCACACTTGCTCAAGAGCACACATTTATAAAACATATCTTGACAATATTTACAAAATTAAACTTCAAATTTTAAAAAAACTAGTTTCACCCACAATTAAAAACAAATTTTACGATAACATAGATGGCCTTTTTAAGCATTGTAATGTCTTACCAGTTAATACACTATTCAAGTTTTTAATATTAAAAGAACAATTTTTCAACAAAAATTTAAGAAACAAAATCGAACACCTGTATGCACTCGGGCAATTTCTGAGAATAAGCTTCATACTCAGCGCGCCAACAACACCTATGGCGAACGAACTACCGCTTACATTGTACCCAGACTCATTAATAGCATACCCTCAGAAATAAAAAATAATATTACGCAAAAGAACATAAAATGTAAACTAAAGCAATATTACATAAGTGTTATTTAGGAAAGTGTTTGTTTATCCAAGGTTGTTTATATTGTTGTCATTAACGTATATATTTGTAAAACCTCATTTTATAAAAATTAGATTTCGAGATTGATTCATGATAGCACAAGTGTAAACCTTAGTGGATTTTGGTTGCTATTTTAAATGAATAATCCTGTACTTATTGTAAATACGATAAATAAATATTTAAAAAAAATAATAATAAGAGGCGTATAGAAAATCCACGATGTTTAACCTCACCGAAAGTTCTTGTCAGGTTTCGAACCCGCATGCTTGAGGTGCGGGGTCTTCGAGCCACATTTCACGTTTCAGATTTTTTACGTTGTTGTAATATCGAACCTGCTACACTTGCAGCTAACCATCGACGGCCCAGTCATTGCACTGACTGTACAGTCAATACAGATTGACATAAACTCGAGACAACGACGTAACGTCTCATGTGTTCCGGGTGTCCATGGGCGACGCCGGTTGCTTACCATCAGGTGATCTGTACCGGCACATTCTATGAAAAAAAAAAACAATAATAAACCACATTGAAATTGAGATTGATTATCGATTTCCAGGCTTAGGAAGCCAAAATCCTAGGAATCTGCAAAATCCCTAACATTTTATCTCATCACAGAATTATTAGCTCAAAACACACATTAGATAGGTACTGCTTATACCCAAAAGTCACACAAGCGTGAACGACAGTTGGAAGTCTAATACAAGTCTGGTCCCCCCTCCCCCTTAAGCACTAGGATTGAAAAGAAACCTTGATATCTAGAAATGCATATTTTAATCCGAAATTATTACTGTTAGCCGTATCTGTATGGAGTTGATAGTACCACCGTTTTAAATTAGTCATTTTTTGTGCATCTTATAAGTGCTTGATTTGCGTGGTACACATGATTCGGCACGATTAGGTGGGTTCGAGCGGAGTGTATCATTCAGAGTGATCCCACGGCCACACAGGAAACCAGCGTGAAACTATACTTGCTATACTATGTATCCTGTGAATGTGAACTTGTATGTTGTAAACGCACCCACGATACAGGAGAACATTCCAGTGTGGGACAAAGTTAAAAAAAACCCTATCACCCTCATGACAACGTACTTGTAACTCCTCTGGCATCTCTGGTGTTGTGGGTGTCCATGGGCGGCACCGATTGCTTACCATCAGGTGATCCATCTAGTCGTTTGCCCTCGGTTGCATAAAAATTATTATTATGGGTTGCCTCTGGTGTCGTGGACTAATGACGGCATGCAATTGTTTTTTACAATTTAACGCCATCTGTAGGTTAGAGAGAATAATATACGATTAAATTCTCGTCTTTGATTCAAACTATGATAAATGGACATCATGGGGTCCATGGCCTAACTAATGGATCATTTGAAGTATTTCTAAAAAACTCTGTGTTATTTAACAACAAGTTGATAAAAATCTCACATTAAATAATTTCGCAGGTAACAATAAAAACATTTTTTTTTTCGTAGGTGGTATTACCACCTCTACTAGTTACCGTACTGCTACTCAATGCTACTTGCTACTTACCAGTCAGTGCGCAATAACACTGGATTTGTATGTACCTGTTACTGGCAAACTTTGCTACTCAGACAATATTTAACTTGTCTAGGATTAAGTAAAACAGGGGTTGGAAAGAACGTACTTGAGGATTTTATTGCTAAGGTATTGTAAGCTAGTGAAAATAATTTAAGTATGGGAGAGCCATGCTTCGGCACGAATGGGCCGGCTCGACCAGAGTGGTACCACGGCCGAGCTGAAAACCGACGTGAAACAACGCTTGCGTTGTGTTTCGTCGTAGGAGTGAGGTTACCAAAGGCCAAATTACTTTCCCCCTCCCCAATCTCCCTAATTCTTAATCTCTAAAAGGCCGGTAACACTTGTAACGCCTCTGGTGTCCATAGGTGACGCCAATTGCTTACCATCAGGTGAACCGTGTGCTCGGACCAGCTTATCCGCTTAAAAAATAAGATGTGTTGTATACCATAGTCGATAAGGTAGGTATCGATAGGTAAAGTACCTTTCATACTTCAGTCACCAACCCTTCTCTTCTTCCTTACTATTTTATTACACTAATTTTTTTTTGTTGTGAGAGAAAATCATCCAATGACTTCTCCTGCCATGGGTTAGGTGAGAGGGAGTGTCAGACTCTTACTGACTAAAAACCACCCTGTTCTGGGCACCAGCAACCAGCAACCTGTTAGGCCTTCCGCGGCTCCGTATAGGTATTACACTGGGCCTGCGGACGACGAGCATGGGTGGCTCCCCGTCCGACCTGAGGCCTTAGTACGAGTTTGTTTTACGTTTAAAGTAATCGTAACGAGTTCGCGTTCGGCGCTCCGATTGGTTGCTTTATTGGCGCCGGCCAATCAGAGTGCCGAACGCGAACTCGTTACGAATACTTTAAACGTAAATGAAACTCATACTAAGGCCTCAGAAACAGACCCGAGCGTACGGCGCGTCGCGTTCCGCGCGCGTCTTAAATCCATCAGAACACCACAGATGGGACCCAACAGGCCGATGCCGATTCGGAGTCGCGGAGAACCTAACGGGTAACAGGGGCTCCGGCTCGAAGTGCAGGCGAAGGAACGGGGTGGTTTTTAGTCAGTAAGAGTCTGACACTCCCTCCCGCCTCACCCAGGCGGGAGCAGTAATTCGATGATTTCCCCCCTTAAAAAAAAATAGGTATTACACTACATTGGCTTGTCGTTTTAGTTTAAGTTCGAAAAAAATGTTGAATTTGACTATTTGGCAAGTACCCAATTGAGATTGCTGTGACATTAGTTAGGTATATGAAGTTTCTATGACAAATCGAGATCAATCCAAAGATTTTAGATAAAGATCGGTAATTAATTTACACTATGCATTTGACGAGAGATCGAGCAGTAATGATCTCTGACGAACCTTTTAAACTTTTCTCTTCTTTGGCCTTTATTTATAATATTTTTTTTATTAAACATTGTAATTTGAATTTAGAAAGGAGAAAGATGACGTACGGAAGCGCAGTGTAGAACCTCCACCATAAAGTAGCCGACCTTATTAAAGTGTCAGACAGCAGGTCGCTTCAAGTATCGCGATGTCATATCATTAGGGGCGGACTGTTCATACACTCCTCAAGCAGTCTTCACGGATTGTAGTTTTTGGGGTAGTCCCGCAAAAGAGCATATCACCTATTTTTTTTTTTAACGTTGCCCCTCATTAGGATTTTCTCCTGTGTGCGCTTACAAACATACAAGTACACATGACACACAGACCCGGAACAACAATTTGTGGATCACACAAAGAGTTGTTCCGTGCGGGAATCGAACCCGCGACACATTGCGCGGCAGCCGGTTGCCCAGCCACCGCACCAACCGTGCAGTAAGCAATCAACGTCGCCCATGGATACCCGCAACACCAGAGGTGTTACAAATACGTTATTGCCCTTTTGGGGATTCGCAATTTGAGTACTGGGTAATGTTGCGGGAAGTGATTGACATAATGGTGATGATGACAGTAACTCCTGCACAAAGAGCCACAAAAATTAGACACATCACGAAGATCCTAAAACCGGATTTGAACCCCAACATATCCAGTATTACAGCTCATGATCTTCCCGTTATTGTGAATGCAAGACCGACGCCGCACAATTTGATAGGCCATTC